GCCTCTGCAATGAGAGTAGGTACTGTCACTATTTCAGTATTATCGATGAGGAGACAACTAAAGAATAGGGACATTGACTCATTTGCCCAAGGTTACTCAGCTGACAGTAAGGGATGGAGCTGGGACTTAAACTCAGTCTCCTTCCAGAGCCCCCTCTTAACCACCAACAGGCACACCTTGTTGTATTGCGCTTAGCTTTACTGCACTTTACAGGCTTACAAATGGAAGGTAAGACCCTCCACCGCAAAAATGTCATGACTCGCCTTATCGCGGTGCTTGCTTTATTGTGGTGGTCTGGAACCAAACCTGCAGTGTCTCCGAAGTGCTCTTGTATCTACCTTGCTGCCTGATGCTAGCAGTTATGCCCTCCTCCTTGGCCAATTAAGGACAGCTAAGCTAAGCTGCAACAGCACAACTCCAGAGGGCTCCTATTCTGTCAGGGGCCATGTGACTGGGGCCTCTGGATGTGAATAGTCCCACCAGAGTTGTTCCAGCAGTAGTTGTTCCTTTTTCTGTGTGTGCTCTTTACTTTGCTGTGTGTGCGGGTGCATGCTCGCACACATGTATGTACATAGGCATGCACTTGAGTCAACACATAGCAGCTCTGGTGCATGCGTACACTTGTGCACAATTCTCTCTTATATGTCTTTTGGCCATTTGCAGAAAATTATCCAGTTTCAAGCTCTTACAATGTTCGCATTTAAGCAAAACTATCAGTGTGCTTTTTATAAAAATCTTGAGAACTTTCAATGCTTTATGCTTATGGATACTTACAGTCCTTTTGTATGTTAGTATTGACTTGTTTCTCAGTTCAGAAATAGAGACCAAACATCCTCATCCGAGCCATTGTGTGGGCAGGGCTGGGATTTGGATGTAGAGCTGACCCTGCTGCAGAATGAATTCAGCTGCTGTGTTAATGCCACTAGGTCTCCAGGCCAGCACTGATCCCTGGCCAGTCCTCTGACTGGGACTGAGAACAGTGACAAGAGGGGTAGCATCTATCTGGGGCATCAGTTTGCACCTGCAATTTTATTTGAATTTATTTTTCTCACTAGGTAACCAGCCACAGCAAGGAGTGACTCCCTATGGGCATCCTCCACACTTCTGACTTGGGAAGGGGACAAGACAAGAAGTTTGATGTTCGCACTGAAAAATAGAATATCAAATTCAATGCATTAGTCATCTTTAGAAATGTCCCTTTGTTCTTTCATTTCTTCAAAGTTTTCTTCTGTTTTATGCTACACTTTGTACAAAGGTGTTTAAACAAAAAGCAGAAAAGGAGGTGTGGGTTGGTTTTGTTGCTTTCAGCTTTAAAGCAGGCTTAAAAATGTGTACCCTGTGGGCCTACTCCAGGAAGAGTTTGGTAGCAGACTTTTTGAAACTGGTGCTTTTTTGAATCTCATTGTTATAGAAAGAATGAATTATGGTAAATACAAAATATTTATATATCCATTAATGGTTTTTTTTTTTTATTTTCAAACTGTGCCGGACCAAACTACTGATTTGAAAGGCATGTCAGTTCTTGACTGAAAAGTGACCCATTTATTCTGCATTCACCTTTGATGGTGAAATGGACATTTATTCGCATCACTCTAATTTGAAATGTTTGTAATTTCATAAGCACTTTATAAACTTTGTTCTTATTTATGTAGGATTTTTCTTTGCTTTTGTTGTGGTCAAAAGGTGCTGAAACAGATTGTTGCTTAGTATTTAAACTTCTTAGACCAAGAACTTAAACCGAGGCTTCTGTGAGCGCCACCCTAAGACGTGTGGAAGCCCATTAGAAGTGGCTGTACTTAAGTGTGCAGTGGCCAGATCACGAACCAGAGTCTTTGTGAAGGTGTGGCCTGTAGGTTATACAGGCCCGAGTGAACCACAATGGAATTGTTCTAATTATTTATTGTTGGGTTTGGCAAAAATGACTCTGTCCGATTTTGGTTCTCTTGAACCTTATGCCAACTTGAGAAAAAAATCTCACAGCTGGCCTGAGATTCCACAGTGCTCAAATTTGACACGTTTTCCAGAGAATCTGGCCTCCAAGTCCAGAGGCTCTGGTTTTCTTAAAAGATGTATTTGCTGTTTATTTTGTATGGTAAGTATTTGCTATTTTGAATTTAATTATTAATATTGGTGTCAGTCATGGTTGTGTATTGCATATACTGTATTTATAAATTGGTGCAAAAAGCACAAGTAAAGTAAATTATACATCAAATTTATTATAAAGAAATAGTAACTATTTTAACTTTGTTCAAGTATGTGGTAATTTGCTCCTATTAGAGTAAAAAGAGACAGTAAATTATTATCAGTTTGTGTAACTTAAGAGTATTCCATATAATATTTTTTTAGATTTAGATGCATAAAATTTTGAATGTGAAAATTGCAGGGCATTTTAAAACATATGTGGGGGATTTTTTTCCCATGTTCTCTGTTCATTCATTTTCTTTTGCCATATAATTTTACATGTTACGTAGTCGCACAAACTGTGAATAGATTTGTCTGTAAAGAGCAAACCATGTAGAACTACTTTTTTTCAATGTAACGAGTACAACTTTAGTCGATCATTTCTTCTGCAAAGCATTGTATAAATAATTTATATCTTCCTAGGTGAGTTGCTCATTGCAAAGTTCGACTCATGCGAACGACCTCAAACATGTGTCCGCTTCCTTTGCTGTGGCAGCGTCCATGTGACTGCTTTGTACACTGTGAAACTCCTCTGCTCCAGCCTGCTCATTTTGTGTTTACTCTGGGCTGGAAAAGACTTTGCCAAAACATTAAAGACCATTCTTTTCACTAAATTAACATATTCTATCTGCTTTCAGAAAATGCATCTTTACATTTCAGCTGGTTTTGTATATCAGGGTTTTATTTTTTTCCTCTTAAGAGTCATTCTTAGTGTTCATAAGGCTATTTTTCTTCAAGTAATGTATCCATATAATGACTGCCTTGGCAAAACAACTGAACTGCGAATGTTGTGCCTAGTGAGTGAGTCATGTCCCATCCTGATCGTTTTTTTTTTTTTTCCAAGAGCTGTTGGTATTTAAAATGTCAGTTTTCAGTGTGAACCATATATTTCTGTAGCTCTGTATTGCAAACAGCAGTAATACTGTTTCAAGAATGAGTGTTAAAATCGCATAGCATTTGTATGCACTTTATATTTTGCAGAAGTCAGTGGAATTAATTTATTAATCATTTGCACTTGAAAGCTGTGGGTATGTGTTTTTTGTTGTGTGTCCCTCTTTTTTAGGTGAGGAAGCTAAGTCATGGTAAGGCCACAGAGATTCTGTGGAAAATTGAGGGAAAAACTAAAACCGGTTTTCCCCTATGCATTATAAAGACCGCAACTGGAAATTTTAATCTAGTCTTATCATATTAATTCTCATTTAACCCTCTATCCTAAGAGGGTACCTTTTTTTCTTTAGCAACTGCATTAATTTGCATTAAATGACCACAAGAGAAAGCCCTGTCCTTTGACAGAACCTGGTGATTTGCATCCTGAAATAGAGAAGGAATTATCTTAGGGTAGATGGGAACCCCCACCCCCTTAAACATGAGGCTTTGAAGTAGAGTGGACTTGGATATGAGAGCCCTTAGACATACCTGTTTATAGTGCAGGCTTGTTCCTAGAGGAGTTACATGTGTCATTTTATTCACTCCTTTTGGTCCAGAAGTGGAGGAAGATCACTGTTAGAATGAGTATCCTTTGACTTCTTGCAGCCACGTGATCCCAGTGTCAGAGACAGTAGCAGTCAGGCCCCCTCTTAGGTGGGGCCAGCTGGAAATGCTGTGATGGACACAATGTCTGTAATGATTGACAAGGGCTAGCAGTTTTCGGTTTTGTGTACTGAGATATCTGAGCAAGACCTATGGCTTTTTCTTCTTTTCCATTTATTAAGGCCCCTACAATTCTTCTTAAATAGTAGGTGAATATTTGAATAGATGGTGGAGAAATTACCCTGGAAAATCCCAGCCTCCGACAATTAAAAAAGATGAATCATCATGTACCCCAAGTTAATTCAGGTTGAGTTAATCATGTAATATAAATAAATCCAGTAAATCACAAAAGACAGCATTCTGTGTAGGTTGAAGAAATTTTAAGTGCAGTGAAACTTCATGATGTGATTGGATCTGGAGCTCTCCCAGACATGTACCTGTCACACACAGAGTTGCCACTGAACGAAACAGCATGCGCATGAAGCACTGGTTTTTTCTCAGAACGTTTTCCTGTAACAGCTCCAAACCGGGGTGCCTGAGCTCGATTTTGAAGTTATAGAGAAGTTTCATTGTGTTTTTAAAAACCTTTTTAATGGGTTTATTTGGACAAAGATGTAATCAACCCCCTTTTTACATTTTATAATGTACAGGTGTTAGGTTGCTTTTCACGTGTGGAAAAGTTAGCCTGCATTTATTTTTAAATGCAGTCATTGAAACATCTTTGTATTCCCCATCAATGAAAATTTTCAGTGTGCATAAAATGTAAATCTTGATCAAAACAGTTCAGTGCTTATTTTCTGTAGGCTTTAGTAAAATATTTATAAACCAACTACAAAATATTTATATATTAAAATGACAAATTTACATCAAGACTGCAAATTTGCTCTTTTCCATTGTTTCTGTTGAAAGTGCCATGCTTGTAACACTGATAGGAGGTGGACACTAGGCAACTGGGAGTGGAAGAGGAAAGTCCATTTGATGAAGAATTCAGGTACATTAGCCATTTGTTGTTTTCTAGTGGACAGTTTTCTCTTCATGTTCATTGTTATTTGTTGGCAAAATAAAAGTGCCTTAAGTTAAAAGTTTGTTTTGAGATTTATTAAAGAATTCAGTATAAGTTCATAATGCATTTATTTACAAGTCTTTTTTTTTTTTGCATGTCCATGATAAATTTAATATTGTAAATGTATTAAAATTCATTTACATGCCTATGGCTGCCTTTAATTAAACTTCTTCCAAAAAAATAAACTGTCCAGATGTTGATTCTATTCCAAAAAATGTATTTCATGTCAGATTACCTGCATATAAGTCATTGCAGAGTCACTGCCAAGTGCGTTCTTTGCTGTGCATTTGTATATCCCAGAGTCCGAGGTTCGAGGATTCTGAATGACTAGGGTGCCTCGGGGGTGAAAAGGCTCAATTCCATGTGTCTTCCCTTTATTTGCCTTTGAGAGCTGGGAGTGGTCAGGCATCTCCCATGTGATTTCTGGCTTGGGGACACCTAGGGCCACACAGTGGAGCCGAATGGCTGTCCCTGTCTTTGTCAGGATGCTCCTTGGTGGCCGATTTGTGATTCGGGGAGCATAGGCGACAACCGCGACTGGAACACTGATCAGTGCGTGGCCAACGCTGTTTTGAGCCTTACAGATGTAGTTTCCTCTGTCATACGCCGTTGCTCCTTTGATGACTAAGGTGCCATTTTCGTGCAGTATGTATTTTCCACTAACTTGAGGCCTGTCTATCACAAGACCACTTGGTAGGGTCCATTCAACGTTTGGCTTAGGGATTCCATCAGACACACAGTGCAATGACAGAGACTCTCCACTGATACAGTAAACTGTTCCTAAGGCATTTGTCAGAATAACTGGCTTCTGGCCAATTTCTAACACAATTAACTTCTCAATATAGCCAACTTTATTTCTTGCCCCGCACCGGTATTTTCCTGCGTCATCCCGGGTCATTTTATAAATCATAAAAGACCCATTGCTTGCTATCAGATACTGAGAGTTCTGTGGTCTATTGGGAAATCGCGTGCCATTGGGTAAAATCCAGATTATTTCAGGTGGTGGGTTTCCATCAACAGAGCAGTTCAGTGCCGTGGACTTTCCAAGCTGGGCCACTATTTTTTCATTAAATGGGTTTCTGAATGTTGGTCTTCTCAGCATTTCCAGTACTTCCAGCTGTACCACCAACACATTCTCTCCTCCTTCATTCCGAGCTACACAGATAAACTCAGCTGAATCTGAAAGCCTCACATTTCTAATTTCCAAAGTTCCATTTTTGTGGACTGTGATTCTGCTTCCATAGTATGGCGCTGTGAGGAAGATGTTATCTGGCATGATCCACATGATTTGAGGAGGTGGTGTCCCTTCAGCTCTGCAATCAAAGTGTTTTTTGGAATGCCTCACAGCTGTGGCTTTAATGACAGTTTTGTTTATATACAGACCGTTGATTAATGGAGGCTTGGGCACAACTTCCAGCTTGTACCTTTTGGTGTCATCCCCACTGGGATTTCGGGCCACACACAAGTACTGTCCAGAATCGAGCAGTTTGACTTTGTTGATGGACAAAGACCCATTGGCATGAATTGTGTACCTGTCTTTTGAGAATGAAATCCTGTCATTGGAAGGCAGCAGCCAAAATATTTTTGGTGTGGGTTCCCCAATGACCTCACAGTCGAGGACAGCCGCATCTCCAGCTTTGACTCTTACGTTGGCCTTGTAACCCTGCTTGATCCGTGGGGTAGCCGTTATTACTGTTAGGTGGACCTTCATTTCATCCTTCCCCAGAGTGTTCTGGGCATAGCAAGTATAATCTCCTTCCTCTGTGATCCCAACTTTGTTGAAGTACAATGTCCCATTGTTGAAAAGGGTGTACCTCCTGGTACGCCGGCCACTGTCATCAGCTTGCATTGCATTGTTTACCATGGTTCCATCCGGCAAACTCCAAGATATCTTGGGCACTGGTGAGCCAGAAGCCTTGCAGTCCACTTGGAAATCTTTCCCATGAAACGCTTGCTTTTTAAAATGTTGTTTGTGATCAATTTTGGCAGGTTTCAGTTTTAGGCTAACGTGCATCAGTATCAGGTCATCCCCTATTTTGTTTCTTGCCACACACAAGTAATCACCACCATCTTTTTCTGTTATTGATCCAATAAACAGGGACCCGTTTGGGTAGACATGGATTCGGCTGCCCATTCTAAGAAGAGAAGAGAATGAATGATGTGAGTGTGCAGCTATTAGCAAGGGGCAGGGTGGAGGACTTGTCTTATCAACATAGGGTTAGCTCTATGGGCATTTTCTTAAGTTGCAATAAAATTAAAATCAGTGCTAGCTTATTTACTGTCTTCTAAACCATTTAATGAAAGATGAAATTATCTAACTGAATAGATACAATTTAGTGAAAATGAGTAGTATTTCTAAGATGAAATTCAAATGGATTTCCTTTACATAGTGAATTTTTAAAAAATTATTATGGTAGCCCTGGCTGATGTGGCTCAGTGAACTGAGTGCTGGCCTGCAAACTGAAAGGTCGCCAGTTCAGTTCCCAGTCAGGGCATATGCCTGGCTTGCAGGCCAGGTCCCCACTTGGGGACCTTGTAAGACACAACCTCTTTCTGTCCCACACTGATGTTTCCCTCTCTTTCTCCCTCCCTTCCCCTCTCTAAAAGAAAAGTAAACAAATTAAAATTATAATGGTGAGGAGAATGCTAGAAGTTTTGGGGTCCTAGACACATGACTTTCTTGACCATTTTACGTATCAAGTTATCATAGTGTAATATGTCAGTAAAGAAGAACTTTATACATACTTAGAAAAGACACTAATATCTCCTTTTTAGAGAGATATTAGTGACAAAATATTTAGAGTTATTTGGTTAAAAAATACGTTCTACTTTGTTATAAAGAGAGAAAATGCCGGTGTAAGACTTACTGGAAGCTTGCGGTAGCATCTGCCTTTTGCAGGCAGCTATGAAGTGACTCTGGTCCCTGCACTGAACTGTGTGGAACTCCATTCTTCTCCCTGAAGCAAACTACCCAGCCTGCCCTTATCATCATGAGCCATCAGATGGCAGGTATTTCCTGTTAAAACTAAATCTAGTTTTTCAGAAAGATCAGTGGAAATCTAGTGGCTACTAAAAACATATTAGAACACCTACAGGTGAAAATCTATGTGTTTTTCTTCTAATTTTTTGGCGTCGTGAGCTAAGCAGGTAAGGGAAACTGGAGAGAAGAGCGTGGACAGTCTTCCATAGCGTAACTGCTAACCAAGTCAATCAGTCTCGAGTCATTTCTTTATTCTCCAGCAAACATAAGTATGGAAGGTATTGTAGAACATTACAACACATGCTGGTGCCTTTCTTTTTATTTTATTTTTTAAGTGTGTAAGAGACTCTTCTGGTATGTAAACCAAGATAAAATCATAATAGATATGCTTAGTAAAGGGATGGAGACTGCCAGGAACTTTGCATTTACTTTTAAATCTTTCAGTAGCTCCTCACTCTTTGGCTTAAAAAACTGATATTTAGAGAGGCTGTGTCACTTCAAGTCACAGGGCTGGTTCTCAAACCCTGTCTTCTGCACCACGCTACACTGCCACCTGCTATCATTTTTGCCTAATCCTTTCCAAAAGCACCGATTCTCGACCATGGGTGCACATTAAAATCAGTTGTGCAGTATAAAATAATGCTGTCTGGGTCCCACCTCTGGAATTTCTGACTTAAGTGGTGTGGAATGAGGCCTTGGTATTTGGGTTCCAAGTTTTCCAAATGGTTCTCATGTGTAGCAAAGTCAGAGAACCATTGCTACAAAGTCAGTTCTCAATGCATGTCCTTCGTCGCCTGCGTCAGAATTCAGTGGGACCCCACTTAAGATGCATCCCCATGTGCCTTGGGATTTATTTAAATGCTTGAATTTCACAAAAGAGAACTGGCATTCAACATTAATGAAATGCTTTTAATTATTTGAAGGTAAAAAAAAGAAACATACTGAAATTATAATATTAAATGCAAAAACTGATAAAGCATTGAAAATATTTAATGCCAAAAATGTACTCGTACATACAGTAAACATATTATTTCTAAACTTTACATTTCATAGCTCAGTATTTTTTTCATTTTATATCTAAATTTAATTAACGTTTGGTCAAGTAGTTTTGATGCCTTATTGGAAAACTTGAAAATGAACATTTGAATTAAAGATCACCAATGAAATTCATTAATAACATTCAATGCCAACTTACCATGTGACACTAGAAAAACCTATTCAGCTTATCAGCAGGAATATAAATTCATATCTATTATGTTCAATTTGTCCTGCATGGTATTTTCTATTAACAAAAAGCAAATATAACTATTCTCATCATTTTTGTCATAGAAAAATCATTGCGTAAGGTCATGCAAATGGCAAAAATTAGTAACTCGTAAGCCATAACTGTGACTTTTCAAAGATCAAACTATCCAGAAAGCCGGATGAAAGCCAGTGTTAATCAGCCTGCAGCGGGACACGAGAGGCAGTGCCAAGCCTGACAGCTCCGGGCTTGGGGGTCCTACCTGCCTTTTTCTTTGTGTGGTTCTTAATGCTGTGACTCATAGAGTGGTTTGCAATTTTATAGAAGCAGTTAAGTACAGATTATACTAAAATTTAAAATGCTTAATAAGAGACTTTGAAGAGTCAAATAATGCATGGAGTCTCTCTCTAAAACCTTCATTGAATTGAAAAACTTCTTTTTTCATCAAGAGATTATGAATATATTTACATAATTTACACAGTTACATTTTAAAACTTTCACAACTATGAAAACAAAGAAGATTCTTATTCTGCTTTTAACTATATAAACTCAAGAGGTTGGCCTTTAGAGTTAAGCATGCAAGAAGCTTGGTTATATATATAGTTTATATTATTTTATATTAATCTCAAAAGAATTCAGTCTTTAGAGAGAATTACATTTATGTGCTGAGTCTGGACTCTCTGAAACTGTTCTCTAAAATTTACTGTATCACTTGCCCATTGCAGAAGTTGTACAGCTAAGTATATAAAGATAATCTCAACATTAAGGTGTGGTTTACCTGTGCCACTGGTCTACAACAGCCTTGGATGGTAGCCTCCAGATTATTTTGGGTTTGGGTTCACCAACAGCCGAGCAATTCAGTAGTAATTTGTCCCCAAAATTCACCTCATTCCACAACTGGGATGCGGATTCTATCCTGGGGATGGTCTCTTGTTCTTCCAGTGTGAGAATTACCACCCTTCTGTCTGAGCCCGTGGAGCTGGTAGCAATGCATTCGTAAGTGCCTCTGTCTGAAGAGCCTACATTTCTTATATACAGTGTCCCATTTGAAAATAAGAACAAGTTGGAATCAATAAACTGTAACAGTTTCACTTCGGTGCCATCAGAGAGAACCCAGTGAACACTGGGCTGAGGAGTCCCCTTTGCAGTGCAGGGCAGTTTCAAACTTTCACCCTTAGTGCCTGCAATCACTTGCCTCTTCTGTTCTAGAATGACAGGTGGGGCGGCTATGACTTGTATTTTAACCAGCACTGAATCCTGACCGGCGGAGTTGCTGGCTGTGCATTTGTAAAAGCCCCGGTCATACACACTGAGACTGTGAACAACCAACGTTCCGTCAGCTGTCACGAGGGCTTGCCTGTTCCCTTCGGATGATTCTGAGACCTCTGTCTGGTTTGCGAGGATCCAGGAAATTGCAGGCCGAGGCCTGCCTTCAGCTCTGCACTGCAGTTCGACAGTGCTTCCAGAATGGACTGTGATCTCTCTGGTGTGTCTCTCCAGGATCCTGGGGGGATAGGAAACCACGGACAGGGTGACATGAAGGTGATCTTTGCCCAATGGATTGGATGCTGAGCACAGGTACTGTCCACGGTCCTGAATGTCCACCCTCCGGATGGACAGGGTGCCATTGGGGAGCACTTGGAACCTGCCACTCTGTTTCCTTGTAGACAAATCGAGTCCTGATAGAAGAAAGAAATTTATAGCCACAGGTCATCAAGGTTTAGATAGAAAACAAACTGTCCCAGTGGAAAGCCATCTTTCAGTTAGGCTACTGAGAACAAATATATTTAAAATTAGAATGCCTAGTCTTCACATTGCTAAAATCATTCCTGGAATGTTTGTATCCCCATAGCTTTAATTTAAAAGCCCAATGGTTCAACAAATGACAATGACCTTTTTTTCAAATCATGTTTCTTTGGATCTGCTTTCAAAGCATTTTTTTTAAAATACTCTTAATTAGTATATGGTTTAAAACCTTCTAATGAGCAAGAAAGCCATGCAGCATATGTCAAATGAGGATAGTAAAGTTTCTGTATCTTGGGGAAGTTTCAAACTGGTGTTGATTCTTTGAATGCGTAACCCTGACACATAACACAGTCATCCCTTGACTCATAACTAAAGAAGACAAACTTTTAAATACCTGACGACACTCTGGTCCAGTGGATGGCGGGCAGAGGATTTCCCACAGCCTCACAGGGAAGAAAGGCATCTGAGTCAGCTGGGACAGTAAAACTTGCTGCCTTTCCTCCAACTATTCTGGCCCTTTCGAACACATTCCTAGACAAAGGCTCAAAGGGAAGGAGTTCAGAAGGTGTTAATTTTTGAACCTGTGTCTTGTCAAAGCCATTTTCTGCAGTTTTCTGAATTTCCCAATTTGAAGCATGAGTGGTGTCCTCTGGCAAGCCTAGAGTGGGCAGCATGCTCACGCCTGGCTTTTTGCCTTTTTGAGCAGTTTCCAGGTGGGACTCACGCTGAGAGTGATCTTCTGACCAGGGAGAAAGAGTTGATCTAGGATTCTGTGGTTCAACTGTTATTAGCGCTGGCATAGGAGTAGAATGTAACAGATTGGAGTAGATAAAGTAGGTGGTTCCAACTGTGAACTTGGCAGTTGGATGAGCCTTGGGAGATGTTGCAACCTCTGCAGCTAATTGCTGTGGATTGGCATTGTGCCTGGAGGGTTCATGCAGCTTGAATGTTGTATTTGTCAGCATCCGGAAAACAGGAGTTGTCACATTGTCAGTAACTGCACTTTGATTACTCCAGGGAGGAGAGGTGGAGACTGGCATCAGAGTGGCCCTGCTGCTCAGGGGAGTTGGCACCGCTGAGGGTCCGATGGTCGTGCTCCTAGGTGGGGTCCTCTGCTGGAGTTTGCTGGACGAAGTGGCTTCAGAAGCAGCCGTGCTCTTCAAAGTCCGAGTAGTTTCTTGGGGTGGTTCTTCAATTACATCTGTCCTGTTAAGTGTTCTTGGGTAAAGATCAATTGTGCTTGAAGTTCTTCTGGTGTTTTCTAAGGCGGGATGAGTGAAAGCAGAGACACTGGCCTTGACTGAAGTTTCTGCTGCAGCTGGAATAGGGAGCCTCACAGCAGGGTGTGTGGTGAAGCCAGGACTCTGGCTGGGAGAGCTGTTTGGGTCGTCTCTGCCCTGAGGCTCCTTTTTGCTTTGCACTTCTGTGCTGGGTCTGCCTATTTGGGTGTGACTGATAATGACAGATGCGGGGGCAGTAGGAGTTGTCAGCGTGCCTGCTTGCTCTGATATGAAGGGTGTATTTGATTCCTTGCTTGAGCTACTAGGAAGTGTAGGGTAGGTGGGTGGGAAGGGCAGCTCATTCATTGTGGAGAGACTTCTAATACTGTGTGTTTTAGTGGTATCATGGTGAGTTGTAGCCAGTGTTATAGATGGACTTTGCATTACGTTTGCTGAGTGTGCTATGAAGCGAAAGGGGGAAACTGTACCTCTGGGTAAAGCAGGAGATATTTTAGGAAGCACAGTCGTTGTGCTTTTCTGTGAACCAAATGTATGCTGATTCTTCAACCTGTCTGTTTGGGTGTGGTTATTTACAGAGACCTGATGCCAGGGAATTTTCCTTCTCAGAAATCTGGTAATGCCCATAGTTGCAGGCATAGATGGTTCAGTGGCAGGACCTGGAAGTGATGATAGAATCATTGAATCTCTTTTCACTTCACTAATGTTAGATATACTGGGGTAACTAATATTTGTTCTATGAGCTTTTTCCACAGTTACGGATGTCGGCGCCTGAGTCCTGACTGTACCAGTTGGCATCACTTGGGTGCTTTCAGCACTGAAATATTTTATTGTGGGTGTTGTTTTCTCAGTATGTACATTTGGCTTGTTATTAAATAGTAATGGTGAATTATAGACAAGAGTTGTAGACTCTGCTGTGACTCTTGCAATGTCAGCTTTGGGGAGGGCGATGGGGGAAGAACTTGGAAAAAACAAGGTTGCTCCCGCAGTGGCAAACTTTTCTCTGAGAGAACAGGATGGACACACTGCACTGGGCTCTGTGGCAGGAAGCACAGTGGTGCTTCCTTCAGAAGAACCTCTGGAGGTTGGCCTCACAAAGCCATATCTATGCCGTGGGAGAACTGGAGTTCTATATGGGCTGATAACTCTCCCCCTTCCCCAAATTTTCCTCCGTCTGACAAAGCGTCTGGACAACGGGGTGTTAGTGGTACTGTTTCTAGGAGTCTGTAACTGAGAATGAGCAGCGCTGGGTGGGCCTGAAGGGAGCCTTGAGGTGCTAAGCCTTTGTGTAATGTGAGAATGGAAGTGATTGCTCCTGGGGACACTGCCTTCTGTTACAGGCATCTGATGACCATGCATGACATTTTCTAATGCTAATACATCAGCTTTGCTATCAACACTACTAAGCATCTGGGTCTCGACATCTTTGATCACCACCCCTGTTGCTACTAGGGGTGCACTTTGCAAATGCTCTCTTCTCCTCCCCATGCCCTCAGCACCCTGAAATCGAGTTGCTTCAGGTAGTAGAGGAAGGGCAGTGGCTACATTTTGGTTTTTTGTGTCTTTCATTTTGCTTGATGCGGTTGGGTTTATGTTCTTTGACATGGTGATAGTTTTAATAGTAGTAGGTAGTTTGAAATCTGTTGGGTTTTCAGATGGTAACATGTGTGGACTGCCAATTGGGGAGACTTCAGTACCAGTAGTTGTAATTGCCACAGGGCTATCAGATATTTTTTTGAAATCAGCAGACACTGTCCTTGCCAGGGCACTGGGGACATTAGTTGCCAGGACCATAAATTCCTCATCTGGAGGGAGCATGCCTGAAGAGTCTGCTTCCTCACCGGGTGTTTTCAGGAATTGGGTGCCCAGTGGAGGTGACCTTGCGGTGGTATTTTCTTGCTTCTGTGTCATAGTTTTCTTTTTAGCTTTCTCCAAAAGCGCTGCCCAGTGTCGGGGGTCAATTCTCCGAGCAGAGAGAGGGAACTGCCTTCTGTGCTCCCTAAAGCGGTGGTTTGTTGAATCTCCACGCCGCTGGTGTATTAAATCTCGATAGTTGTGCTTCTTACTTGTGCTCAAGACTTGTTTTCTAGCCTCACCTCCCTCTGAAGCAGGTGTAGGGAACTGTGCAGCTGGTGGGTTCCTCGGGTGCACCATGGGACTGGGCTCATCAAATCCAGATCCATCTGTTTCTGCATTGTGCTCCACTGGGCTTGGCCCTTTTTTCCTGACTGAAACTTGGTTAATCAAAAAGTCGACCCCTGATGGGTTGGCTGCAACACAACAATAATGACCCTGGTCTTTTTCACTGACCTGTAATATTCTCAGTGTGCCATTAAGAATCTGCTTCTCCCTGGAGGACTGGTAGAGCACAGTGTTTCCTGGAAGAACCCAGCTAACAGAGGCATCTGGAGTACCAGTGGAATGGCATGGAAGGTCAAGTGCGTCACCAACAAAAACAGTGTGAGAAGCCCCATTTCCCTGATAGGTTTCTATGTGGGGCTTGACCACTGTAATCCTATAGGTGAGAATATCTGCATCAGCATAATTGGTGCTTATGCAGTTGTATATGCCCGTGTCAAAACTTTCAGCCATCTGGAGTTCCAGTTTTCCACTTTTGTCTATTAGAATTCGTCCATCCTCACTAACATAAGGGGCTCTCACTTTACTCCCATCAGCTAGAAGCCACTCCAGATGTGGGGCAGGATCTCCTTGGCCTGGGCAGTCTAAGTCAATGGTCCCGCCAACCAAAACAGTGTGTTCCAGCTTAATATTGTTATCCCTGGGAATCATGGTCCATTCGTGTCTCACTGGCCTCGTCTCTGACCTTGGTGAAGTGACCTGAGCATCACTGGAGTACCGGATCTGCAATGTACTGAGTGTGGTGGCAGTTCTGTTTAGCTGCAATGAAATCTGGTCTTGCATTAACCAAGGAGGATCTGCTCTGAGGTCAGCCTCTATGTTGGTAAAGATGTCTTCAGGCTTAAGAGCCACCTGTTTATATCGGTAGCAGAGTTGTGGTGTGTCAGTGAGCAAGTGGCTCCTTTCTAGTGTCAGAGGAGAGTCACTGTACAAAGCCAGAATTTGCCACACTGGCTGAATGTGACTATAATCTATGTTACACACAAGAAATGTAGAAAATGATGCATTTAGCCTGATGTAATCATTGTCTTCAGTGATTGCAATGGGTGATGTCTTTGAGGGCTTTTGGATACTGCAGACCACGTGAGCTTCATTTCCAGACTGGTCTGTCATATTCAAAATGAGGAAGCCGAAGGGTGCCATGAAGTTTTGAGGAGAGATGGACACAGAATTGCTGTCTTCCAGAATAGTCAGGCTCTTCAGTTTCAGAGCTGGATTGATGGTTGGCCTGACACACAAGAAAGCCGCAGCAGGGACGGTGGCCAAGGGCTTGCCCTTCGAGCTCCTGGGGTCCATGCACAGTGGGCATTGCTGAGAACTGGAGGGACTCCTGTCTTTTTTGCATTTTATTATATCTAGGAAAAATTATAACAATTATTGCCAGTTCTGGTCTCTTCATAAATTAATATTTGAACATTTTGGAGAAATAGCTTGTACTGGAATTTGAAACATTTTGGAAACTTTAGTGTTTAATAGAAAGTGCCTTGCTGTTTTTGTCTTTGAGTTGACTTCTAAAAAACATACTATCTATATATCCTGTCATAATATTATATTCATAGGCACAAAGATTTTGCCAGTCTTATAGAAAGTGCCCAACAAAATGGCATGCATATGTTTGTCACTTTTATTAACAGTAATTTAGTTCTATTTGTTCATTTTAATGTTTTGAGTCATAGAACTTTATCATTCTTTAAAAGATAATTTGTTTGATAAATTATCATTTATAAGTCCTTGGATATCATTAAAAACCCAAGTTACTTTTCATTACCCAAAAGTACAATAACTGAATTGCAAGATATCTTGACCTGGTCTAGCTTGGTCTTAATAGGAATGGAGAGAAACAGATGGATGCAGGAAATAATGAAGCAGGTAGAACCAGTCAGCAGGAGGTGAGGATCTGGCTGAGCATGGAGGGTGACCGAGTGGAAGAGAAAAGGAAGATGCAGTGTGAGTTTGGTGGCTGGACTGGTGGAGACAGGCAAACACTCGCTGGAGGAGGGTCAGGTGTAATGAGGGAGAATGCTGTACCCAAGCCCTGGGGCAGCCCTTTAAAGATCAGACATCTTGGTGAAATCTGAAGCCTGAAGATCATATAGGACTAGGAACAGCCTAAGCCTTTCCAAATCATAGAAGCCCCCTCTTTCAGGAATCCCCATATCACATAGCTGGCCCTTTAAAAAGACCACTCTGGTGAGCCTGTTTAAAATGGCTGGTCACTGAAATACTTGTAAGGGGTACAAAGTTTTACTTTACATAAAAAGCAGCCAGGAACTTCACATGCTGTTCCATGTAGTAGCTCTCATCTCATGCCCTGGAAACTGCTTTGAGAAGAAGTCTATACTTCTTAGAAGAGCTCATTTGCCAGAGTGGCTGGACAAGATCACATCACCTTCCCACATATGCACAGTCCTCTCAAGGCTCAAAGGCTCAAATCCCTCTAACCCAGGACTCCAAACCTTTCAGTATCAGTTTAGTGCAGTATCACACCACAGAGATCTGGCCACTCAGCTTTCTACAGCAAATTTTATAGTCCAAGTCTCCACAAAGTAGCTAGCTAGCCTGGAGACCCTGAGCATGCATATAATTCCCCACTTACCAACCAGGCCTGCCCCCTTCCCTACTTAGCAGTACCTGGGGCTCAGACCTTGCTAGAGCAGGGAACATGGCAGACTTCTGGCTTAATTAAAACCTGCCACAGAATTAGGTGTACATCTTGGTATGCTTATTGGTAACACCTGTACCAGAGTTAGCAGGCCCCAGCCATCCAGGAGTTCACTTCAGATGCAAATCTGATCATGTCACTTCCACTCCCTCTATCACTCTAGGTTTCAGTCACAAAGAAATGCTTTCCATCCCCCAACTCTGCCATGCCCTGTCAAGCTCCACTTCCCATACACTTGCTGTCTGACACGCCCTTTTCCATCACTGCCCCACTACTTACATCCTTCATGGCCCAGCCGGAGCAGCACTTCTTCCAGGGGGGCTTCCGGCTTTATGTTCTGGTACCTCCCACTTCTCTTACCCTGCCCCTCATCACCCACCATTAGAATGACTTGTCTAGTTGTCTTCTCACAAGACTGTAAGCTCTATGCTTGTTCATCTATATGTCCCCAGGCCTGGCCAATGGATGCTCAGGGAAGATTGTAGGAAGTCAGGGATGGAGGGAGGCAGGCCTAATTCTAAGACCATATTTTTTATGAATTAAGATGTCTTACAATTGCCCTGGCTGGCGTAGCTCAGTGGATTGAGCGCGGGCTGCGAACCAAAGTGTCGCAGGTTTGATTCCCAGTCAGGCCACACGCCTGGGTTGCAGGCCACAGCCCCCGGCAACCACACATTGATGTTTCTCTCTCTCTCTCTCTCCCCCTCACTTCCCTCTCTAAAAAATAAATAAATAAAATCTTTAAAAAAAAAGATGTCTTACAATTGAAGGTGTTTTCCAGTAGCAGCCAAACAGTTGGCAGTCTTGCTAGAGCTACCACTGCCTACACACATCAAATGCCATCACTTACTTAACAGTGCTTTCTCGTCAGTTGAGTTACATGCACTGTTGGTGCTATATGTATTTCATTTGCCACTGAAAATATGTTATTAAGATTACATTATGCATTGGCATTAAAACAATAAGTTACTACATATTCAGAAAGGTATGGAAACAGATTAAGTAGCAGGACACAAATTTAATATTTATAAAACAAATGTTTATCAGAGAAATGGCCACAAATCCGCATTTTACAGAAGAGCAGCCCAGGAGTGTTTTGAAACCAAAGAGCTAAGAACACAAATAGATGAAGCTGTGCTACATTTGACTACGGAGATACGTGCCCACGCACTGCCTATCACACACCATGTAAGGCAACTGAAGGCACAAGAGGCTGTCAGGTCTCTTGGAATGCAAGATGAAACACACTTCGAAAAAGAAGTTGATGGGACTGATTCATGAGTGGTGGGTTACCGTCAAGGCTTCTCGGTCAAAAAGAGAACACTTGCTTATTTAAACAGGGCTGACAAATGTTAGCCATAAAGAAAATGTTAATTATTATTTGATATATACTTATCCATATATATTATATATTGATACGCATATATACATGCACAGTTTTGGGACATATTAAGATGATGGCTGGATGGTAGGCATTTGTATTCACCATCAAAATGGCTATGTAGTTGATAAAAACTTAGTTCAACAAAACTTATTGACCTACTCTGTTCTAGGCACATACTAGGGGCTAAGGATAGATAAATTAGACTTAGGAAAGGCAACAGACATGTAATACAAATAAATACAATAAAATGTTGTCTGTGCAAGAACAGAAGTGTGGGCCAGCCACAAGTGGCGAGTGATCCTTCTGACAGGGATGGGGCAGGTGGAGGAGCAGCCTGGCTTCCCAGAAAGGTGAGTGCTGAGCAGCGTTTGCTGGCTGGCCGGGAGCCCACCCGGCAGAAAAGGAAGGAAGGTGTTCCAGGCTGGGAAGCAGCAAGGCGGAGGTGGTAAAATAGGGTAGGTGTGTCTGGCATGGGAGGGTGGTTGCAAATTGGAAAGGAAGGAAACGAGGCTAAAATTAGGCAAGGAGCATCCTGGGAAGACCCAGCATGCCAGGCTAAGGAGCTCAGGCTCTGTTCTTCAGGCCAAGGTCAGCAGACTTTTCATGTAAAGGGCCATATGGTAAGGACTTTGGGTTTGGTGGACCACAGTTCTCTGACCCAGTGACTCAACTACACTACTGTAGCACCCAGGCAGCCGTGGATTTGTATAAACTAGGCATGACTGGGTTCCAATAAAACTATGTACAAAAGCTTGGTGAGGGCTGGATTTGGCACGTGGGCTGCAGTAAGCCAGTCCCTTGACTCCAGTACATAGAATAATTGATGTTTTACAGTGGTGTATTCTACCTGATGAAATGATAGCTGCTAACAAAATATACACTAGCCTGATTTTACTACCTGAGCACATAACTAGTGAAATGGCAAGTAGGTGTGATACTCTGTAGGAACTGAACACAGAATCATTTTCTTTCCGGGTTTGTAGAGTGTGGGCATCATCTAATTTCTTTGTTGGTTTTTTTTCCCTGCTACATTTCTCAGATAGGTTTTCCCTATTTGCTCACCATCTTCCCTCTATAATCCAGCTAACAATCACGCAAAAATTCAGTAGTTCTTTCTCACTCGTCATTCTCCTTTATCTCTCCATGGCATTTGAAAGAATTGAGAAACTCAATCCCTACTGCCTTTTAAATGTCTGTGAGGCTACATGCAGGTGTGGTCACCTCATCGTTCAACCTGTCACTCCCCAGACACGAACCATCCCGAGCACCTCCTGGGGGGCTACTGTTTCTCCGCACTCCGGTCCTCCCTGTCTGCTGCTCACAGACTGGTGATTCCTAAAATGCATCTCCATGGGAAACTGTCCAAAATCCTTCCCTGTAAAATCTTTCTTTTTTAAAAAGGGTAAAATACAAATGTTTTGGCCTAGCATTCAGCACCCACCTCAGTAGACTTCAGAACACTTTGCCAGGCTATGCTGCCCCTATGCCAGGCAAACGGGGCCCTTCCTCACCCTTGTCACAAAGCTTATGCTGTCTGCCTTTATGTGTAAAGCCCCAATTTTAGGAAAAGATCTAGACTTCTGAGCTTCTGATTTTTTATTTTCTAGCTGTCTGACCTCAGTGGGAAAGAAAATAAAACATATTTATTGAGTGCTTATTTTGTGTCATACATTTAGCTAAGCACTTTGTATGTATTTTAAGTGTTCTATCCAGTTATTGTTATTTCTATATTACAGGTGAGAAAACTGAGGCATAAAGGGTCTAAATGACTAGTCCAAGATACCTAACTTTTCTACGCCTCAGTGTCCTCATCTGGAAATTGGGGAGTGCTGTGAGGATTAAATAGAAAGCATCTAGCACAATGTCAAGCACAAACTGAGTGTGTTACCGCCCTGCTTCTTTCTCTCTTATTCCTTCTTTACCTGTTGATGCATCTTTTATGCGCCAGCCTACTTTCTCTCCTTTTTGGTCAAGGCAGAGTAATTTTTACAGACTTTGAACTCCTATAGAATTCAATATAAATACTTGATGATTTTCATTCACAGCCTGATTGTCTTTTTATGTTTAACATATTCACCTAAAAGATTCTAAACTCCTGGAAAGTAAAGAGGGTGTCTATTGGCCTAATATACCTCACAGTGTTCAGTTCATGTTTTTTTATTAACTTTTGAATATTTATATTAACTGACCACACACACATATACATACATATATGATTGTGTGTGTGTGTGTATATATATATATGTACAATACATACTTATGTATTTCACAACAGTAACTTTTTTCACTTTTCTCAAGCTTCCGACCTTGACCGTGTCTTACCACCTCCCTCAGTCAGCCCTCCCACAACTTCACGAAGGAGGAGAAGGCATCAGACACAAATTTTCTTTGTCTCCTCCACCAGCCCTAGGAACTCTTCTGCCTCTGAGTCCACCTAGTGCACCTTTTACATCCTACCTCCTGAGGAAAACGCCTCCAGCCTTGGCTGGACCTCTTGTCCCCACCCCCATCTTCTCAGCCCATCTGCACAGTTGCCGATCTGTGCCTTCTGCAGTGTTGTCACCTTATTAGCAATCTAATCATCTTGAACATGCTCAAGTCTCCTGCTTGACTGCACCTATCCATCTAGCTGCCACCTTCCTCCCTCACTTCACGCCAAACCTCTCTAAGGAGTGGACTGTGCCCCCAACCCCCACCCCCCTGTCCCTCCCCACAAGGCAACCCAGCTCCTATCAATCTTTCCAAAGAAACCAACCATCCCCTTTGATGACAAAATCAAAGGGTTCCTTTTGGTCACCATCTTAAGGACTTAATTTAAATAATTATTTCATCAGGGTTTTAATAATTAACAATATAATTAGTTGTTTGCCCCTTCTCCGCATAAGAATGTAAGCCCCATGAGGGCAAGGACCTTACTCTGTCTTGCTCATTTTTTGGGTCCCTATGTTCTCTGTGGCCTCCTGTATGTGGGTTTGTGATAACTGCCTGTTGACTGAATGGATCTTGCATTCTTCACGGTAAATTCTACCTTCCCTGTCAAAGGACATTTCATACCCTGATGGTCTGTTTGCTTATCTGTAACCCACCGGAAGTGTGGTTAGAGCAGAGACAGTGCCCTTGGCACTTCCGTCACCTAGCACAGAACCTTAAATAGAGCTCCAAAAATTGCATATTGACTGAATACCTGAGAAGAGAAGGGAAGGTTTTTTATGGCTCATGGTATAAGGAAGTGTAACACGCACACATTTCTTTCTTCATAATTTTGCCAAAAACCAGGAATGGTGATCAGATAGCTAACCTTTGAAACAATGAACAATTAATTAATGAAAGAATGAAGAGTTTGTTATCTGAATTATTACTTAGACTTCTTTTTTTTCCACCTAAATTACCTTGGCCTTCTCACTTACTGATAGATAAAGTACCTCCAGGCAGGGTGCTACTATTGCATTAGAACAAAGAAATAAACAGTATTCGTACCTGGCTTTTCCTGTATCCAGTCAGACAACCATTTTAAATGACAGTCACAGGTCCAGGGGTTCCCATGAAGATAAAGGCTTTCCAGATCCGGCATGTAGGAGATCATCTCTTGAGGGAGGGTGCTCAGAAAGTTGTCAGACAAGTACAAGTACTTAATGAAAGATGTTTTAAATATCTGGAGGTAGCGCAAAGAGACAAATGTATCTGGATGGAGCTTAGTGAGCCGATTGCCTTCCAAGTGCACGAGTCGGAGAAAGGTGAGTCCATAAAAAACCTCTGGGTTTATAAACTCAATATTGTTGTGATCCATATGCAACCGTGTTAAGCTCTTGAGGCCATAAAAAGTATCCTTCTGAAGTTTTTGGACTTTGTTATAGCTCATTTTTAAGACCTGAGAATAAAGAGAACATTTATTTTGTCAAACCAATTAGCACAAAAGGGGAAAGCGTATCAATGAGACTAATCCGATGCAGTGGGTGTATCTTGTTTCAGTCAAGATTCCTTAATTTTGAGATATGTATTGAAGTATTTATAGATGAAACATTCTGACTTCATGGGTTTGTTTCCAAACAACACAATGAAATGGAAAAGAAGGTAGTGAAGGTGCTTGTAAAACTATGTGTTATATGCTGATAACTATTGAAGCTGGGTACTTTTGCATATAATTGAGAATTTCCATACTAAGTTTCTTTTAAGTATCTTGATATTTCAAGTAAATTTAAGATTTCTTGAACCTGAGTTTTTCACCAAAAATTAATTTATTTTTGACATTTATACTGGTTTATTGATATATGATTGACATGCCATAAAATTTTACCTATCTAAAATATACAATTCCAAGTAGTGCAACACTATCACCACTATCTAATTTTAAAAGATTTTCATCACCCCAAAGTAAAAACTGATACTTTTTAGAAGTCATTTTCCCCATTTTCCTTGCCCTAGAAAACCACTTATTTATTCCTGTGGATTTGCCTGTTCTCATCATTTAAAATAAATGAGATCATACAATATGTGATCTTTTGTGTCTAGCTTCTTTCCAATTAGCCTACTATTTTTGAGACCTATCCCTGTTTAGCGTGCATCAGCCCTTCGTTTCTTTTCATTGCTGAGTAGTATTTCATTGCATGCGTGTAACATATTTTGTCTATCCATTTATAAATTTATGAACATTTGGGCTGTTTTCCACTTTTGGCTATTATGAATAATATTATTTTAATTTATTTTGAATTAAAATTAAAATAATATTTGAATAATTCAATAATGTATGGATATTCTTCAATTTCTCCTGCAGTTACTAGTTGAACACACTTTGTCTCACAAAAAGAAAAGACAAAGAAATGCTAGTAAAACCAATGGTTTCTCATAATTTTTCCTGATTCGACCTATGTTGTCATTTCTGCTGAGAGTGTGCTTTTCTGGAATGACTAATTCCCTAATAAGCAAAAAGAGTTAAACTGGCAACATAGAAAAGCTTTGCCTCTAACATTACCTGGGAGTATAATTTCAAAGTCAGTGGTCCTTGCCCTGACCTGCGTGGCTCAGTTGATTAAGCAGAGTCCTACAAAGTGAAAGGTCACCAGTTCGATTCCCAGTCAGGGCACATGCCTGGGTGGTTGTGGGCAACTGATCGATGTTTCTCTCCCTCTATTTTTCCCTCCCTTCCCCTCTCTCTAAAAATAAAATAAATAAAAGAAAAGAAATCAAACTCAATGGCCCTCAATATCTATTCAAACTTGGTCGAGAGTATAAATGTGTGGAGAATTTCATGAAGGATATGTATTCATCTGGTCCTCTGAACACATATAAATAAAGCCTGGTTCCAAATAAAGCCTGATTAAGCCAAATGAACAGGATCCCATACTAGACTGAATTCTATGGCTTTATACAGCCCTGGTATGTTGTCAAAAGGCTCTATGCATACTGGCATTTTATCTTTTATAAGGATATAACTGACTTTATTGTGCTGTCTTTTTATCAGAAGCTATGGGAGACAGAAAGTTTTACATCAGATGTGGTTGCCTTTTTTCCGAAAAGTAGTTTTATTAATTTTTATGTATAAAAGATTATAGACATCATGACTTGTGAGGTTCCGGAAAGCCTCAAGTCCTACCTAGCACAGCAGCTGCCGATCTCGGAGCCAGCGCTGCCTGTGCCCCCTCCTGCTTTCCCTCACGCTTGTTCTACCTTTCATTTTCTCACCTACTGGAGTGAGAATTCCTACAATATTTGACACATTCTTGGAAGCCTCTACAACTTCATTAAGTTTTTTGAACAAGGCAGGATATAAATAAATAATGAAATAAAGTGAGCCTGAAAAAATTATATTGCTGTATAGAAAGCTAACTTCTAAGATGGCAATTATTTTTAGGAACCACATTCATTTCTCAGATGAACATGACTAGAAGCAGCATTTTAGGATTAGGTTTTAAAGGATTAGTAATCACTGGATATATTAGGCTAAGGCACGAGAAAACTTGCCTTAGAATTCTTTTATTATTCAAATTTCCACATACAGTTGCATTTAAGAAACAATTGGTTCTCTGACATTCTCCCTGGATGTCTACTTCTAATTTGCAGAATGCTGATTTGAGGATGCCATAAGAATGGGCTGTTTTTGGAGGGATATCTTACCTCTTTAATCTGTCCCTTCCCACCAGGGTCTCACCTGCAGGGCCTGCAAATCAGCGAAGGCCTTGGCTGGGATTGTGTGAATGCCGTTGCTGTGCAGCATTAGTAACTCCAATTTATTCAGGCCCGAAAAATCTGTTTCTGTTAACCTGACCAAGCTATTGTACCTGAAATATAAATGGCATGCTAGGCATAAGCTGAGCTTGTCAATAAAGTTCAAATGTCAAAGCAAACCCCCACCACCACCACACACACACATCAGTGCCTCTCTTGTTTTACCTGTGCTGTAAGATGATACAATGCTTGCAATATTACTGAGATTCTTCAGAAGTTCTACCGTCCACCCAGCCCTTGTAATGTGGTTACAATCACCTTATTCTTTCTCCTGGGACATGCCACATTCTTTCTCATTTTCAAATGCTTTGGGAGCATGCTGTTCCCTTAGGTTGGAATGCGGTGACTCCATCCCTGCCCTTTGTGAGCACTATTAGGACCCAGCCTGTTCTTTCACCTCCTGGTCCCCTCACTCTCCCAGGGGGAATTCATCATTGTAAAGTAGTCAAGAAACCTGGGCTCTGAAGCCAAGTGGTTTGGCCATGATTATGAACTCAGGCACTTGGTAGTTAAGTACTAGGAGTGACTCTGAATAAAATCAGTGACCTTTCTGTACCTCAGTTTTCTCATTTATAAAATGCAAAGAATAGAACCTACTCCAAAGGGGTTATGAGGGTTAAATGAATGAATACATGAAGAGTGCTTAGCCAAATGCCAGGCCCTAGTAAGCACATAGTTAATGATAGCCATTATAATCAGTGATTGTTACTAAGTTCCTTTACTGTATTATGGTTCTTATTAAGTTGTACTGAATGTACATCTGTCTTCTCCTTTTAATTATAGCTTCTAGCAGTGAATGTAAGTCTTGTTCATTGAATTTCCAGTCCCATCCATTGTGTTTGGCACATAGGGGCCATTGGCTCACAAATCTCAAGTAAATGATGTTAAGTTCAAATACACATGTTCACACAGTTTTTTATGAACTTTTAAAATGTAGTCAACTTTTGGTAGATTTAATTAGGTATGCACTTTTAAAAAGCATTTTAAATAAGTCAGTTTGTATAGAAAAAAGCCCAAGGGCTTCAAAAGGGATTCAGCCCACTTTTCACATATATCTTTTACATATAGGAGGACGCTCCTAGTCTTCCTGTTATCTCTCACTGGTATATCAGAACCCTAATTCGTAACAAGAGCTATTTTACTCTGCAGCACAGAGGTAGCCAGATTGAAGCTTTTCGGTAGTCATGGGCCTCCCCACCTACCTAGAGTACTCAAGGTGCCAGAAGAACTTTCTCCAAATAAAAGTTTATGAGTTAAACTTTCTTAGCGCCCTAACAAACTTAAGATCCTTGTGTGCTCATTTCAGAAAAGAAAGTTTATTACAATTGTGGTTAATCTCCCCAAGTCCTGTGTGTTTAGAGGATAATCCCTTCTTAAGAAGACAGGACGAGGACTCCCACGCACCCTAAATTGATACGTTCCACATCGGGCGGAATGCTGTCTGGGATGGAGGTCAGGTACCGAAACGTGCAGTGCACCTCTGTGGGCATGTAACAGGCACAGCGGCGAGGGCAAGCCCTGACCCCGGGAGTGGCCGCCAGGCATATCACAGCGAAGGGCACCAGCAAGCAGGTGATTCTGCTACCTTTCACTTTCATCCTGAAAAAAAAGTCATGACTCAGAGTTATAACTATGGTTGAGCAAAGTCCCAGTAGAGCTGCACACAGTAACTCTGCTAATCAGAGACCTTCCTGAAAGGTACTAAGTGGTCAATTTTGTTTACAACTTTTACAGTAAAATTAACTCTGTACAAAGCGATAGTGTATGCTGGCCTCGCCTGGAGCTTTGTGATCAAGTGGGATATTTACTGCTGGGAAAATTCCTGTATAGCTTTTTACTTGTTCATGAAAAGCAGAAAATCGTATTACTGAGGGAGTCATTAAAAAGAGAAAATTAAGACCAAAATAAAGACATTGTGACAACTGAAATACATAAGGGATATTTTCCAGTTTATACATTAGTTCTTTTAAAAACTGGTTATCAAACTAATACATGTGCATGCTAGAAAATTTGGAAGCTGCAAATACATAGAAAAAAAATAAAATTACTTATATTCTTACCCTCTAAGTATAAGCATTGAAAGTTTGCTGTATACCTTTCAGCCTTTTATATATATTGTATATGTTTCTGTGTATATGTGTGTGTTGAGCTAAATTGTGTACCATTTTTAATCATTAAATGTATAATACAAGGTGTGGCAAAAGTACGTTCACAGTTATGAGTACATGAAACAGTTTATTTTTGTATTTTTATTTATTAATTATTGTATGATTTTCCATATGAACAACTATAAACTTACTTTTGCCCTAATCTGTATTTGTGTTTTCATTTTATTAAACCTTCTTCAAAAACACTTTTTTAAATAAAACATTTTACTTATTTATTTTAGAGAGGGGAAGGGAGGGAGAAAGAGAGGGAGAGAAACATCAATGTGTGGTTGCCTCTCATGTTCCCCGCACTGGGGACCTGGCCTGCAACCCAGGCATGTGCCCTACTGGGAATCAAATAAGCAACCCTTTGGTTCACAAACCCTCACTCAATCCACTGAGCTACACCAGCCAGGGCCAAAAACACTTTTATAAACTGTAATAATCCACTGAAAGACTGAATAAATCTCTTTCTAATATGTCCTTAAACCTTGCCAAAAAAAAAAGGCACGTTGCACATTTCACTGCCAAACAATGACCGTAAACAAGAGCATCTGCTGAGAGGCCTGAGCATTGCACTTGCACCGTGGCGGGCCACGCTGACCCCTCGTAGCATGATGCTGTCTGTCTGCTTTTGCTCTGCTCGGCACATCCCTCTCTGCCTGTTTCCCTGGTCCCTTCTCCTCCTCATGTCAGCCATGGGGGTGGGGGAGCATTACCAGGGAAGAAATATGCTCAGCTTGTTGGAAAATGTTATCTGTAACCCACATGTGGGGCCAGCCCAGGAATCCAAACCTTATTTTCTTCTGCAATTCGGAACATACAGGGTTGCAATAAAAATCTTTATTATGCGTTTCTAAGAAATATGACCTTCATAATTTAAAATCTCAATGTTCCTTAGAATAGAATGATTTATTTTGGATTCTACCAGCAACCATCCTTTGGCCATAAACTATGCTAGAAACAACATGGGTGTTGAATTGTTTGTATCTTCCTATAAAGATAATGGAATTGTTTTCAGAATGTAGCCCACTTAAAATTTAATATAAAATTAATCACACGACCACTTTTGTCACTGTGACCATCTGGCTACAAAACTTATAAATAACTGTGTCTAATTGGAGACAACATTTGCATCTTCTTTTCCATAGGCAAGCAGAGAAAGGAACAGTGGGATGCAGGTAATTCCCTTGTTCAGCTAGAAAATAGCATTAGTATGCCCACATAAGAGCTATTTAAAATCAAAACTCTAAAGGAATATGGATGGTGGATCCACAGACTTCAACCTGAAAACGTGTATAATGAAATGGAAATTGACAATACCTGAACTCTTCTAGGCTGGTCCCGAGTCCTCTCCTGACACAGGCAGAGACAGAAAATCTTCCTAGGAAAGGGGAAATTTTATCCAAACCCGACTGAGGTTTGCTCCCAAAGTGAGCTAGTGGCTTAGTCTTCCTGGCTGGCAGCTCCGGAGCAATGCTCCGAGAGGAGACCTGGAGGCACTCCCACCACTTCAGAGACTAACGGGTTCCCTTATTTTAACTGTTGTTACTGAAACAAAAGGCAATTAAAAGGAGGTTTTTAATTGCCTTTCTACTCTCTCAGCAGCGTGCTTTGATTCTCCTTAACGCTGTCATTTAAATATAACTATTATATCACTCCATTTTACCCCCAGGTCCCAGAAGTTTGTCCTCTATTTGTCTTTTTACAAATCTGCCATAGGTGAAGCAATAAGGATCTCAACCCACTGAAAAATCTTTACTCAGAGTGTGTCTTTTTCCCCCCGGCATCAGTCGCTGAAAAAAAGTGACTTTGCCCTATTTTCTTTAACCCTTCTCCCTCCTCGGTGCTTCCCCCACCCCTACCGACCCTCACTCTCCCATCCCACCTAGCAGCACGCTTTCTGCTTTCCTACTCCAAGCCCCTCACAGATCCGCCTGTCCCTTTCCCGGGAAAGGATCGGCGGAGCCGCTCACCTCTGCCCAGGTAACCAATGGGCTCCCGCTGCCCTGCAGTGTCCGCAGCTCAGCCCAGCCGCCAGGGTCTCAGGTCGCAGGGCTCTTCCAGAGCGGAGGGAAAGAAGGCGGGGCTGGAGTGGGGTGACGTTGACTTGTGTGTCTGGGGACACGGCTGGGGCTCGCAGCACAGGGATGAGTAATAAGGGACCCTCAAGTTCTTTATTTCTGAGTGCGCGCGATTCACCCCTTTGCCTCTGCCGCTTTTCCATCTTGGTTACCAATGCCCAGGATTTTTCCAGGTGTGACCTGGCTGGTGGGCGGGGCAGTTTCAGGGGTGTGGTGTCCACACCCACATCGTCCCCCTCCATCTCATGACTGTAGGGGCATTTGGGTTAAGGGTTGCTTTAATCACCACCGGTTGTCTTCAGTTCTGTGTCTCCTCGAAGTTTTTTATTGAACTTACTGGGGTGACTTTGGTTAATAAAATTATATGTTTCCGGTGTCCAGTTCTATAATACATCATCTGTATGTTATATTGTGTGATCACCACCCCAAATCGAGTCTCCTTCCATCACCATATATCCACCTTTACTCTTCTTAACCTCCCTCCACCCCCTTTCTCTCTGGTAATCACCATACTGTATTCTGTGAGTTCTATTTTGCATAATCCCTTCACATTTTTCACCCAGCCCCACCCCCCTCCTCTGATAGCTGTCAGTCCACTCTCTGTATCTGTGAGTCTGTTTCTATTTTGTTTGTTAGTTTTTGTTCATTAGATTCTACATATAAAAGTAAGATCATATGGTATTTGTCTTCCTCTGACTGACTGGTTTCACTTAGCATGATATTCTCCAGGTCTACTGCTGTTGCAAAAGGTAAGGCTTCTTCTTCTTCTTTTTCTTTTTCTTTTTTTTTTACAGCCAACTAATACTCCATTGAGTAAATGCACCATAGCTTTTTATCCACTCATCTAGTGATGGGCACTTGAGCTGCTTCCAGATCTTGGCTATTGTGAATAACACTGCAGTGAACACATAGTGCATATATTCTTTTGAATTAGTGTCTTGGGTTTCTTTGGATAAATCACAGAAGTGAAATAGCTGGTCATAAGGCGGTGCCATTTTTAATTTTTTGAAATAACTCCATACTGCTTTCCACAGTGGCTGCACAAATCTTCATTCCCACCAACAGTGCACAAGGGTTCCCTTTCCTCCATGTGCTTGCCAGCACTTGTTGTTTGTTGATGTTACTGACGATAGCCATTCTGACAGGTGTGGGGTGTATCTCATTGTGGCTTTAATTTTCATTTCTCTGATGATTAATGACATTGAGAATCTTTTCATATGTCTATTGACCAGCTGTATGTCTTCTTTGGAGAAACATCTATTCAGGTCCTTTGCCCATTTTTTAATTGGGTTGTCTGGGGTGTGTGTGTGTGTGTGTGTGTGTTGAGTTTTGTAAGTTCTTTATAACTTTCCTGAAGTTCTTTCTGAAGGACAGAGTTAGCCATGAACACCTGTGATACCTGCAGTTTGGCTATTCTGTTTGGCTCTAGAGAAACCTCTCTTGTAAAAGGGAATATCAGAGAAATGCATGTAAGTGCTATTGTCTGTTTGGGTTGCTTTTCCCTCCCTCATCTCCACCCCCACTGTCCGTGAAGATAGCCCAATGTCCAGAATCACCTGTAGCCACTCAGTCCTCATGCAACTGTAGACGGGGCTCCCCATGTTGTGACTCCTAATGCTGAACTAATAGAAATAAAATGACCTTTCACTTCCTCTAGTTACACTGCATTTAAGCTTTTGGTGAGAATTTGGAATGAATGTCTTAGGGCAGTGATTCTCAAGGTGTGATCTGGAACCAGCAGCAATAGCATCACCCTAGACTTTGTTCAAAATACAAATTCTCTGGCTCCATCCCAGACCCTCTGAATCAGAAATTGCAGAGATGGGTTTAGGGGTCAGTGCATTAACAAGCCTTCTGTATAATACCCGTACAGCTACATTTTGAGAATTACTGGTTAGAGAAATAACTTCTTATCATGAAAAGAGCTTATGTTTATTGAGGCTTTACTCTGTGCAATACTATTACAAGCATTTCAAAGAAGCAAGCTCCAGTGATGCAATCAGTTAGTGCATGGTACTTACACAGCATTTCACAAATACCAACTCATTTCAGTCTTACAACACCACCAAAGACCTAAAAGGAGAATATTCATGTCATTTCCATTTCATAGGGGAGGCACATAACAATAAGTGACTCACCCCAGGTCACTGGAGCTTATAGGTAAAGAAGCCAAGAGGATTCATAACCAGGAAGTTCAGCACAACAACCCGACCATTTTGCCACCAACCTGTGGCTGCCTCACTGAGCTGTACCCTGGGAATGTCCCAGCTCCATTTCAGCTCCAGTGGCTGGGCATGCAAAGGATTTAGAGCTGGTAATAAGTAAGTTGGTTACCAGAATAGAATCAGGGGCTCCCCGTTATAAGTAACTCTAGAAGCATATGTGATAAGAACATGTTCTTTAGCTCTGCAGAACTGACATGGATTTAAGTCAAAAACTTACATGTGACATCCCAACCTGGATGCTTGCTTTGGAAATATGACATATTGTGGGTCCTTGGTATCCAGTATTTCTTTCAAAGCTCTTGGCAAACAACTTCATGGCTTCATATTCTTTAGTCAATTTCTAACCGAGGCCTGGACCTCAGACTCCTGCTAGAATGAGCTATGGGAAAAAGAACGTGATTATGGCATACTCCTCAGTTTCCCAGGATTGTTACCTGGGGTCACTTTTGTTTTGCTGTCAGTTTTAAAAAGAACTCGTGTTAGGAATGTTTGTTTGTTTTAAGATATTTGATGTGAAGAATTTCTACAACTGCTTTGTCTGAGAGTTCTCCATGTATTTTTATATTAATCTGCCAGAATTACCAGAAATTTAAAAGGGAATTTGTGACTAATTCTAGTTCAGTTTGTTCTATTTAATAATAATAACATCTATAATTGCTTTTATAGCTAGCACATGTATGTGCCAAAGGTTTAATATGTGTTGTTTAATTCTCAGAAATATTCTTGTGAGGAAGGTGCTAAAATTATACCCATTTTTCAGGTGAGATCACTGAGGATAAAGGATGTTAAATGATTCAGAGAGAAAAATACAATACTGAATTAATTTAAAAATGTAAAGTCTCTGCCCTTAAGTCCTACATTTCCCAGCTTCTGTTTACCTTTACACTGTTGTAAAATTTGAAGGGTCTATAGCAAATCAAAGATTAGAGTATGACCATTTCCTTTACTAGCCTTACTTAATAATGCAATTTGTGTCTGCAGATTCTTGTGGTTTACAAATCGCTTTCATGTTTGAATGTGGCCTTATTTAGTGTTTATAAGAAATATGTCAAATTCAATAGGTATAACTATTTTAAGCAGAAAGCGGTTGAGGTCGATGAGCCCTGGGATTTGTCAAGACCTCCTGGCTGGCCGTGGCTATTGGGAGTCAATCTTAACTCCTGAGCAGGACTCCATTCATTCACCTGCACTTTGAGCATGCTTTGTCCTTTTCATTACCTCTCACTATCATTTTCCTAACAGTTTTCTTTAAATCACTCTTTTCTCCATTTTACTAAGTCTTTTCTAAACAAAAACATCAGTAAAATCACAGGTTTGATATTTTCCTAGTGAACATGACAATAAGTATATATCCCCTTTACCTTTTACATCACCTGTGGGAATTTACTTCCTCCCTCATCTCTATGTCATTGCCATCGATATTATCCTTTCTGACATTTACATACCTCTTACCCCTCATCTTTACCACATCAACCATGCCACTGTTCATCTCGCCCCCAAATCAGAGCATTGAACACCAAGAAACCAAACTCAAGCATTGACAAATCATATTATCACCTGGCAATCATAGCAAACCATGGATTTTAAAACTCACTCACATGAATATTAACTGATAAACGGATGCCAAAATTGTTACATATCTTTTAAAATCAGATACAATCATTACTAGCTCCCAGCCCCATGATTTTCATACCAAATTGATCAATTAACAAAATAATCAAGTCCCACTTAGTGATTCCAACTGCTGTGAAGTAAACCTGAAATTCTGGCCACCCCTTTAACAAAGTTACAGCCTACTAGGGCAAGTGATGAATGCCCTGAAGAGAATACTGCAGAGAATGGAGGTGGAAAGAAATCAGTCACTATCAGCCCTCCTGCAATATAATTGCATCTCAGCCAACCAAAGTCAAACTGCAGGGCTGAAGGCACTTATATGTCAATAAACAATTAGCATTCCAAACCTCTAGCCCTTTATTCACTCACACCATGTATGGGCACAATTTTGGAAGACTTAGAGACAATTTGAAGCCAATGCATAGTCTTCTTGTGAGTCCATGACTCCAGATCACGGGAACTAGAAACCCTACTGAGGAGCCAATAGCCTAG